AACGGAACCAACAGACAAACTAACGGGCATCAAACACGTCCAGCTTCATATCGTACAACGGAACCAACAGACAAACTAACGATCATCAAACACGTCCAGCTTCATATCGTACAACGGAACCAACAGGCAAACTAACGATCATCAAACACGTCCAGCTTCATATCGTACAACGGAACCAACAGACAAACTAACGGGCATCAAACACGTCCAGCTTCACATCGTACAACGGAACCAACAGGCAAACTAACGATCATCAAACACGTCCAGCTTCATATCGTACAACGGAACCAACAGACAAACTAACGGGCATCAAACACGTCCAGCTTCATATCGTACAACGGAACCAACAGACAAACTAACGGGCATCAAATACGTCCAGCTTCACATCGTACAACGGAACCAACAGGCAAACTAACGATCATCAAACACGTCCAGCTTCATATCGTACAACGGAACCAACATGCAAACTAACGATCATCAAACACGTCCAGCTTCATATCGTACAACGGAACCAACAGGCAAACTAACGGGCATCAAACACGTCCAGCTTCATATCGCACAATGAGATCACTATGACAATCGTTTATACTTCCTAATAAGCTTCATCAATTTGCATCTTTCGAAACCCTGTGAACGAGTCCGTCAGTTGATGACCTCTTGTACGATATTTGAAGATATTTATTTATATCCAATGACGTGGTATTAATTATCTTACTTTTGAAATATTACTGTCCTGCTTGGTATCTATGATACCACGTGCTGACTACTCAAGCTGTTTGAATGAGCATGGATGCCTTTAGATATTTGAAATAAGACGAGTACAAAATATGAACAAAGGAATGGTTTACAAGGGTACCTCTGTAAAATTTAAGCTTTGGTGTTTCGAAAGAGTAAGCGTTTTCTTCTTCGTAGTGCAAACATATGCCATGGAAATCTTAGTCAATCCAAGTAAGTAATCTTAAGTTCTCAACTGAGAAAAAAGAAAAAGAAAACCACTCGACATCCAATACAGCATGGAACACATATAAAATAATTTCAATTACACAATTTTTTCTCTATGATTCGGATGGTATGACAGTAACTGACATTTATGCCCCTGCATAACAGCTTTCTCAGAAGCGTACGTTGTAAAATATAGTACTGCCTAGCTTTTTAAATGGACCCGAGGTACAAATAAATGCCTTTCTATTTGAAAAACTGTTTCACTGAGAATAAAACGTTTCAGGCAACCATCGATCTTTTATATCTAGTACAATACAATTTTCTAGTCCCAAGACATTTCCTAATGAGAAACTATTGTTTTCAAATATTAGGTTCGATATTGTTAAATTACAGATAAAAGCATTTTGTACAGAGGGTCAGAACTGGCGAAGACGTGGATATTTGAGGAGTTAACGACCAAGTGTGACCTTCGTAATTTCTAGTGTGATTTGCGATTTGTTGAAACGTGTTGGTCATCTGGACTATCAAGATACCATACGACTTGGCATATTAAGACATCAGTAGAGCTATTCTGCTATAGAAACTCCATCAGCATTGTATTTAATCCTGGTGGAAGTCACCCTGAGAGACTACCCTAATTAAATGTATACAGTAAGCAGGTATGCTAAGCTGACAGTGCTGTAGTATTCTGGCTTCAAAAGTGAACCATACAGCCGACGGCGTATTACAGTAGCAAGGAATGAATATTTTGGAGAGAAAAATGGCATTTACGTCATCCACGCGCTAATTGTAACTTGATCTATTATCCCAAGATAAAAGATACGAGGGTAATTTCTCCAATCTGGTTAAAGATACTATCAAAGCTTATGCTTTAGGCAGTATTATGCAAAGTGGCCTACTGTTAACATCAAAATTATTCTCAAAAGATAAAGACGTATGTTCAAGTAGAAATACACGAGAAGCAGATGCTTTTATAGGTAAAGTATCGAAATGATTTTTCATGGTTATAGTAAATAAAACCAGCATTGATGTTGTGTATACCAGATCATGTAGTTTATGGTAAAATCGATGTAATGTGTGATTATTTGATATATTTTGATAATGATAACTCCTTTTTCGAGACCCACATCAGCCTTCAAATGACAGCAACCGAATTAAAGTTGTCGTGCTTTGTACAAGATTGCACGTCAATTAATGTCATAAAATTGTTATGTACTCTCTATCTTAACAAAGTATTTTGTTAATTTGCTGTACTTGTTAACGTTACTAGGTTTACTGGTCAATTTATGTCGTGAAGTTCTTGTACTTATCAATGTAACTAAGTTTAGGTGTCGAATTATATTTAATAATTCTTGTACTTATTAACGAAACTAAATGTACATGTCAATTTTTATATCATTTTTAAAAATCTATTGATGTGACTGAGTGAGCGTGACCAATTATACTCTAGCTTAGAATTATTGTACTTTTTTACGTAACTAAGTACGCATGTCATGTTTTGTAAAGTTTTTGTACTTCTTAATGTGATTCAGTGTACATAAAAAATTTTATATAAAAAATGTACTTATTAATGTGACGTAGTTTTACAGGTCAACTTATATATAAAAGTGTTTGTACTTATTTATGTGACGTAGAGTATATGTCAATTTTTATATGAAATAATTGTATTTATTAATATTACTAAGGGCACGTGTCGCTTTGTATCTCAGCTTAGAATTATTGTACTTTTAAACGTAACGAATTACACATACCACTTTTGTAAAGTTTTTAATATCTTTAAATGTGACAAAGTGTACATGTCCGTTAATGCTTTTAAGCTGGTTTATTCATGAACTTTATTAAGGTTACATGTCATTGCAGGCCGTCTTAAACTTCATGTACATGATCTGTATATCGTGTATTGCTATTTTCTCTAAGACCATATAACCTGACTGTTTATTATTGTTATCATTATTTATTTATTAATTGGTTGTAGACAAATCTTGCATTATCATCTCACCACTACAAACCTCAGTAAGTATATACAATGGACGTAGTCAATAGATTTCTTGTTGTTAAAAGACAAGACTGCATCAATATAACTGAAAAGTTTAACATAGAATAAGAAATGCCTTAGTTGATAAGTGGATGGTCGCTATATGAGTTGTGACACGAACACAATGTTGTGGCTGTTAAACAAGATTTTTAATATACAAATGTTGATGGAGGAAGACGAATATGGAGTTATTCTATTCAATTAACATAGACGGACAATAGTCAACTTGAAGTCTACGTAATAGAGAGTTTTGATGAATATTAATCATATTACTGTTGTGGGGTCTAACAGCTATAGTTAACAAGAATTGACATCTCGAATTGGAGTCTTCTCAAAACGACAACATCTTGAAAATAAACAAAAAACTAAAAAAAAACAGACAGATCCAGACATATGGATATTTAAATTCAGTTATACGTTCTATTATGACACCATGTATTGAGTTACTTGTGGTGAACACAGCGTAGGAAAATAGTCAATATCTCAATAAGGTCAATGGAGTGGTCTCCCTTGAAATTGACTCTAATAAACATGATTCGCAAAACCTAAAATATCATGAAACCCTGTTAACTAATTTATAGCTGGTTTGTCCGGTTGTCCAAACAAATCACTATCAAAGCTACTTACTACAATTCTTAGTGATATCAACTCAGGGTTACAGGTTACAGACTTGATGTGATAGAGAAATACATACATTGAAATTAGTTGAAATTCATTTATCTAGCCATTGGAGCTTTTGACCAATCTGGGATATTCTTCCCAAAGAAAATATTTCTTCTATAACATCATTATCAGTTATTTATAAGGAACTTTTAATCTTAAATTTGATATAAGTTAGAGCATTTTATCTAGTCTATAAGCTGAAATTTGAACACCTACATTAATTTTGAAGTCCGAGAAACAAACAAAAAAAGATATTTCACAATTGCTTATGACTGTGGTTTTTTTTTTTTTTTTTTTCATTTTTTTTCATCATTGACCTTTTCATAGGCCACCCTTTCAGTTTTAATTTGGTGTGTCATATAATGTCTTTTGACATCTGGAAGTCGAGATATCGCGATTTGTTTTATTGTTATTGCTGTTTTTAATGCTTATAACTTATTTACTCGCTTTTCCACATCTTTTTAGGTTCAAGATTTTGCATTTGATGTTATAAGACTATTAAAATACAGACAGATACAGGGCGAAAGTTGTAAAATAAGGGTAATATTACCAAATGACTCATATTTTCCTTTTTTTAATGTTAATATTTCTTAGCTTATCAAAATGTTGAGTTTTGCATGGGATGGACCATTCCAACAGATTTAATGTTGCATGTTAGACAAGACTTATTGATATCTGGAAGTCTAGATGTCGCTATTTCATTTGATTTTTATATGTCTACGACATTAGCCCTACTCGTTCATTAGTACAAGAATTTTTTCCAATCGCAGATTACGCTATAACTGGGTTTCATTCTTAATCAAATAAGTCAAAGAGCAATCTTGTTTCAGAATGAAAAATAACTGCCCAGCTGGTCACAAAACCAAACAAAATCAAAAACACACAAAATTTATTTATATATATATTCACTGTAGACCGCTTAGGACCCTCTCCGAATAGCAAATATCATAAAAATAGTTTTGAGCCTGAATTGGTAATAGTAAATGAAAATATAAGCGGAAAAATAAAACTATTTGATTCCCCTGATCGAAGGTTGGTAGACCTTACCCGGAAACTTGGTTTTCCGGACCTCAATTTCACAACATTAAAATATGTAGGGGATTGAAATTATCTTTCTGCTAGGCCCCCAGGGTTTGACTGATATATTATAGTTTTGAGAATCTATCTGTTCTTAGTCAGTGCCTCGGAGAGAGAATGGTTTTTAGATATGTAAAACTATCACGCTGAATTGCGAGACTTCCACATCATTTTTCTGCTAGGCCCTCAGGGCAACGTGTCAACAAGTCAAAGTATGAGTGAAACAAATGTACAGTTGTTACAGCAAAACTTAGCTGTTCGGTCACTGTTTATAACACAAAAGTTATATTCCATTTGAGGTATTCTGTGAAATAGACGTATTGAAAATAGAAGGAAGCGTGTGAAAATTATAAATACTTTCCCCGATAGTTTCCGTTGCAGCTACTAAAATCAATACCGCTGCAATGTTCATAACGAACCCTGCTGACATCTGAAAAGGTAGATTTAAGACGTCAATATCAATAGAATCGGACAACAACTTCCACTTCAAATTAATTTTACATGGGCATCCTTAATAGAATTAGAAACTTGTACGTATAAACATATAATACAATTATGTCCTCAACAAGAGAGCCATTCAGTATTAACAGTGCATTTAATCTAATGAAACATACAATAAAACCTCTAGTTACCGAATGTCTTTAAAATTTTGTTTGTGAAGGACTTGAACAAACTATGAGATAAGTGATATTAGTTTATTCTAAAGTGTTCCTGGTAGCTTTGATAAACGTATTGGGACTTATAAGAAAACTGAGCACCTGGAGAAAATCCACATGGCTGGAAAGATGTCGCCAGTCACTTCTACACCCAAAAATATACCATATATATTGATTTAAGAATAAAAGGTTATCATTAGATAAAGAAATGGTAGACACTTGTATATATTACCATGTCGATGACCCTGACATATCCGTGGGAAAATACAACAGCATTAGGAGGCGTGGCCACCGGTAACATGAAGGCAAAGGACGTGGAAATCGCAGTAGGTAACATGTAGTACAAGGGGTTAACGCCCAAACGGAATGCCTGGAATAAGAAAGTTAGGTATTTTAGAAAAGATGGCCCATGAACAGTGTCAGAACATGGTCAATAGCGAAGTCAGCATACGGACGGAGAAAAAGAACTAAAATCTGAAAAAATATCAAAGTCATAACCCTTTAGATGTCTTCATGTATTTTGCCATTTTCCAAGTACCTAATTTTATTATTTCAATGTCAACATCATGGTTTTTTCCCGGAATTCTCTACTCAACGTGTACAGTTATACAGTTGGATAGCATAAATACATCTACTTTGTATAGCATGAATAATAAGAAGTATTATTATTTACTTTGTTAATATTGCTTTGAATTAAACTGACGTTGGACAACAATGAGTGTATTACCAGGATGTTTTTAAATAACTCGTAGTTACTGATGGTTAAGAGTTGTGACAAAGCCTACTCACCAGCTGGGTGACAATCGGCATCATCAGGGTAGAAATTGCCGTATTACTTGTAACTTCTGTTGCTGCCGCCATAATAAAACACAGGATCATGTTCATAACCCATGGCTCAAACTCGCTAAAAACGATCAACTGGTCTGCAAGCCACTTCGACAGCCCCGATTCCTTATAAACAGTATGTCATGTTAATATTATAGCTAGAATTACACCTATCGTTATCCACTTAGAGTAGAATATACTGTACAATTTATACTACAAATATGTTTCTGATTACTATGACCAATATAGTGATGTTGATGTAATATCATATGCGTAACTGTTGTGAACAACAATTTGATGTTCGTTTTCGAAAGATTTACCTCGTGTATGTGTATATCCTGAAGAAAAAAAATTATATTAATTGTTTGAATGAAGAATGACTCGACTTGCCACGAAAGGAAAACCAAAATCACGATTGGTTTTTCATTCCCTCGGCAACCAAATCACTAAACAAGAGTTTTGGGCTTCGATACGAAGAATGGACAGGTGATTCGTTCAGTGATTTTAAACAAAGTTATTTTAACCTAGTGAAATTGGTCTTTACTTCTTGTTCAATCAGCCGACCAAGTTTTTCCAACTTACATTAATCACAAGAAGGAAGTGCCGTAGAGGATTTTTTTTATTTGTGGGAGGAAACTGGAATAATAAATTAACCTTATTTATTATACAACAATTCCAAAACAAGTTTTTCCAACCTACATTAATTACTCTTGTTGACCCGGATGGAAACGGAAGTCGGGCGGAAGTGACCCCCTAACATTTTCATGTCCGTTCATAGAATCGAACCTCGAGAGCATTGATAAAAGACGAGTGCATCACAACTGCGTCACCAAATTTAGGCGAGGAATTCCCAATTTGCCCATTTTTTTAAACAAAGAAAGGTGTTGTTTTAGGAAGACAATAGAAAACCAATTAGGCTATAGGTGCAACACAATATCCTACCTCGCTTCCCTTTGCAATAGCAAAGCCTCCGCCAACAAGTATGATAACTCCCCAAGGTACATTCTTTTCAGCAATTTTCCATGGAAGGAGGGGGCGTGCCACATATGTCTGTCCTATATACACAAAAGACCGAAAATGTACATAGATTTAGGTAGTATCAGGAAATATAAATAACACAAAGTTATTTAATATCTATGGAACATATAGTAGTAGATAGGACAGGTGGAATATTACCTTTATTAAAACAAAATAGCTTTGGAAAGTGAGACGGAAAAATGCAGAGAGAGCATGAAACTAACATGGCTGGCGTTGAATCGGACACCATGCTGAAAAAATGAAAATAATTTTCTAAGGAAAATATCACTTTAATAATGGTCCCATTTTCGATATGATAACTGTGTAGTTCGTAAGACTGATGCATCTTGGGCTAAACAGTACGCCAAACCAAATTTGAAATAATTATAACCAAAATTCATTATAATGCAAACGGAACTGGAATTGATTTCTTTATATCTTATGAATTTTAGAATATTTTGTTAATTCTCATTCTTTTTTGCTTATTAAGGGTCCATTTGTAAATATTAGTGATTCGAAAATTTAACATATTCTCCCTCCACCACCACAGCCCCTTCCTTTGTTAATTATTATTGGCAACATACCCATTAGGAAAGAGAGGGCCCCACCCTCCACTGCCTCCCAAATCTCGCGTGATCCAGAGAACTGCAAGAACCAGTAAATGGCTAATGACAGCCACCTCTGCAAATCTTCAATGAAAATTTTTAACACAATAAATGTTTTGAAAAGTTTTTTATCTCCCAAACAATTAACTCACATTGTTGGATTTTGAAATTTGAAGGGGAACGATTTATATGACACACAAGCTCTTAAAGCTGACTGACAAAAGGAGAACACTATGTACCAATATGACGATCCTTTTGTATATCTTGGTCTAGTTGACATTTAGTACAAATGATACACAAACGATACATGTGAAATAAAACAAGATATATAAGACTGTATGAGAAAAGAAAGAGACATTATTCTACTAAATGTTTATGTTTTTCAACAATTACCTGAAAATTATCCCAGTGAAAAACGAACAGTAAACACCTTTTAATTTCTGCACGTATATATGGTTTTATTAGCGGTATATATATTTTTTAAAAGCAAAATGCGATTACATTCATTAATATCATATAATATGATATAATATAATATAATGATATCACATATGATATCAATAGCTTACTTAAGAAGTTACTGACAATAGTGAATGAGCCAAAACTGTTAAAATCCTTAGAATAATATTAACGACTAAGCATGTTTTGTAACATTACATTCCTTACGTCATGGGTCCCATATTTTGGTATTCTTTTATCAACATTGTCCTAATCCTTTTCTTGGCATCTGTGCTTCCAGAGTTACGTCTGAATAGGATAAAAAAAATTATAAACATGTTGATAAACAATTTACAATGTGTGTAGGAATGCTAGCTAACAATACTGAGATAACAACGCTACAATGTTGTGAATCATTTTGTATATGGCATGCAGTTAACCATAATACTATTTCAAACGTTCGTCAATATTCATAGTGATTCTGAGCTTTCTGTGATGAGTGTCATCAATACTTCAATACTGATAGATTAAAGTGTATCACATTTTTTTTATGATTTGCATTGATTTCATCTTTTTCGTAATGACGAATATGTTTGTGCTGTGCTGCCCTGTGAATATATTTAATTAAAAGCATGGAATTTCTTTTTCACTTTCCGAAAAGAAAAAAATGAAAAATTAAACCCTTTTCTAAACCACACCAGAGTAACTAAATCCCACACAGAAACATACCCGTGATTTTGAGTCACCAAAATATTTACTTTTTAGTATTTCATCAATCATACAAACGATGTAATAATTCCCAGAATTATGTAGCACGGCATGAACATTACGTGATATTTTTGTAACCATAGTTACTTAGATATTTCTATATTAGGCAATGTTTGTGGCCGTCTATACTATATCCACATATCATTGGCTTCTGTTTCATCGAGCCATTTGTCATTTGCTTGTCCTTCCCAGTGAAATAGAGGGACCATATCCCACGATGAATTTCCTGATATCATTTTCATGATGAAAAATCCCTATTGTTAATTTTTTTATGGTTAGATTTTTCCAAAATATTTTACTTTTAACATTACTTAGTTTTTTATCTTCTTATTTTTTTTTAGTGGATGAGTGTACAACATAATACTGATATTTACAACATTTTGGATGCTTAACAAGAAAATCAGACAAGAAATATCGAAATGTGTGTGGTATTCCTATTGCTGAAGCATCTGATTTGGCAGCAGAAGATGTATTAAAGCTAGTTTCTGTGTAATTATACTGGCTCCTTAATGTCCTTTTTAACTTTATTAATAAAACTAATATGCTTTCACTTCGTTAGTAGAAATTCTTTACAAAGAATAAACGTGGCAGGTGTCAGATACGATAAAATATAACAGTTTGACATCTAATTACACATGTACCTGCATAGAAAAAGTACGTAGAACCATAGCCAGAGAGACAGGAGACTGCAAACAGCTATTGGAAATCCGTACAAGAAGAACGAACCGTACGTTACCGGTGATGTAGTGTGGAACCTCTCATACAATCTGAGACAGAAAACAAAGGGGAAAAATAAAAAATAAACAAAAACAAACAAAAAATTGTGCCTTTGAATTTTGAATTAAAGAGAGAATAAATTTACCTCAGTCATAATTTAATCAAAACAAAAGCACCAAAATTCACGTACATGAAAACAGCTAATATTGAAATATAATAAATCAACCGTTTGAATATGTATATTGTGTGAGTTATGACTAGTGAGAACAGTAGACGGATTCAATATCTTACAAATCTGTCTGTCCTTTCATGATGATATTTGGAAAAGATCCCGTAAGAGTTGCCACGCCCCCTATGTTGGCAGCATAGGCTACAGAGAGGGAGAGAGCTTTGCCAAGGTGGAGGTGTTCCGAGTCATTCGTTACATCATCATTAGAACTTGTTACGTCAACACGTGGAGAACTGTGAAAGAAATAATCAAATAATTGTGTAGTAGTTCAGTAACTGAGGATATACAGTTTTTTAAATCCTAAATCAAATGCATTTTCTGAAGGGCTAAATAGGTAAATCTATTAATATGAAACTGTAATAATCTCAAAACACTCTTCAAATAACGTTAAACAATACATTTTATATGATATATAACATGAAAAACCGTAACCAATCATGTTTACGTATTTGATGTCAAAGTGATTTGTTTATTAGGGCTTTAAACCATCTATTAAAAAGACTATTGTTATTGTTATGTTTCTTATTATTTTTCTTCCTCCGAAATATGTGGAGTCTAAATCTTTTGATCGGTAACATTTTTAAGTAGGTCATTAATCAAGGATGGCCGCCAAGACGTCAAACATTAAAATAATTTATATAGCCATATCTCGAAAATCGTTGATTGTACAGAGATTGTACAAGTTATCAGCTTTGATATAATGAATGACCTTTACCCACTTTTAAGGCAATAGGGATCAATTTTGTTAAAAATCTTTACATAGCTTTTCAGTAGCTCAGAGGTATAAGGTGACGGTGTTTTGTTATTTACATACTGCGCTCGATTGCTCTTGATAGTAGTAAGAAAATATTGTGTAAAATGTCCATTCCCGGTTTCAGGAAGGGGTCACATGTAAAAAATATTCTCTTTTGGGTAACACAAATAAATAATCTGTAGCTGTACAGTGTAGAGTCTAGATATGTAAAACAGAAATTTCTTAAACAGTTAGCTATCATATTTATGGAAACGATAGACCTTTAAGTAATATGTTGTGTATAGGTTTAAAAAGCTCGTCAAATTTTTGGACAACAATTTTTACTTTATTTTGTATTCATGAATCTATGGCTTTTTAAGACATTACAGGTTAAGAAGAATGTAGCAATGCTTACGTTGATTTGTCTATTGTTATATCAGCATCAGCATCAGCAACAGCATCATCATTAGCGTTGTATATATTAGAGCCCGATAACTCATGATAATCAGTTCGTACTCTACATCCTTCGTCAGTAAGGTCCACAGCATGATTCTCACAACATTCTGATAAAAAAATAAAATAAACAATCATCTAGTTACTACATCTTTTCGTAAATTTTCCATTTCTTTGTCAATTTCATATCGATGATTAAGAGTGTTTTCAACAACATGTGATGGGATGCATCATCAACTATTTCAAAGAATCAGAATGGAGTGTAGGAATGATCTGTTTCTAATGAAAAGAGTCTAAGAATCCTTTTTCAGCTTGAATCCAGACTTTCCTTCTACATCCTCTTTATATTCATTATGTATATGAGACATCGCCGATCCTTATCCTTTCTCCACATACACACCATATAAGGTTTTTGTCAGTATGATGAAATTTTAAAAAAATGGTTTTAAACAAGCAGTTGCTGATTTATGACAAGGAAACTTCTCAATTTGGTTTGATGACAGATGATAACTTAACCTGATTGAAAGCTCTTGGCCTCCTCTTTCACCTCTCGGAATTGTTTCATCACTGCGTTGGCTATTGGAACCATCATGGCTGCCGTAGCTGTATTATTGATCCACATGGACAGGAACCATGTGGGTAACATCATACCTAACATTAACCTGAAACATAATCACGTTTGTCAGCAGTCGAGCTGCATATTACGTAAGCTTTGTTTCCGTTTTGGGCGAAGATTAAGGTCGTCTTCACAAATACAATCACATAAAGACAATTATATTCAGACACTAAGCAAACAACCATTAGTAGGAGACATCCATTTTCACAAACCCCATAGGATTTTTTAATCTGAGCTGCTATGTTTGAGGGAAAAACGTACGGATTGAAAATTGTCCACATGTAATTAGTTGCCGATAATTTGAACATTGTTGAATCGCGTACATACAATGCTTATCTTTAAGATAATTATCGGGGATTCAGCATCAGATTCACTGAACAGATCATCGTCTGATGAACTGAAATAGTTTTATCACTTAACGATACTCCACTAACTCTGACAGCTGTTATACGGCATGATTCAAAGTGAATCCTGTACCAAATCAGAGAAAAATAGATTTGTTGATATAAAGTCTATTCCATGTGAACTGTTATTAACCGAGTATATTGATAGTCGTATCAGTGATACGTATTTCTTCCTTTTTGGTGTTTTATTGTCAGGAATTCAACGCCCCCTTTTTAACGTGTGCATTGATTTACAAGTCAATTATGTGCCCCAGTATCCCCAAATTAAACTTGAAACGTTATGATCATCAGAATTTTGTATAAAGTTATGCATTTATTGAAATAACACTTACTTATGGTTTGAATTGTGATACTTTTGTTTAATGTCCGAATAATTAATAGGGTTTGTTCAACAGGTAAGGTGATAGGACTCCCGTTTGGTTGGTATTTTGTCACAAAAACACTTTCGCAATAAGATAATCAATTATCAACTATTTATTCTACGACTGATTAGATAATAAATTTAATCTATATCTGTCTGGTTACTGAAATAATAAATAGCAACGATACAGACCATACAGGTTTAGTCCCAACCATGAGTAAAACCTTCAAAGCAATGCGTTTGTGAACATTCCAATGTTCTATTGCTGCTGCAAGTATGAGGCCACCAATAAATAACATAGATGTATCCTACAAGGATAGATATTTCATATGATCACGTGATTTTTTTCTACCTTTCTATCGATTTTAGTAGACATTACAAGTGATTATAATTAAAACTGGTCCTTTAATGTTCATTTCAATATAAAAATTTTGACTTAATCATTCTAAATTGACACATTCCAGTTTTTCTCATTTATGTTACTAACAAGTTTTTAATTCTACATTAAAGGGCTTGTTCCCTTCATCACTTTCTCTGTAATAGATGTTGAGGAGTGACTATAAACTTTAAAAAAAAGAGTTATTTTTGTGTTAGCAATAATTTACATTGATATAAGCCGACGATGTAGCTGAAGCAGACATCAGACCAATCACTGGAAAGATAACAACAGGAAGAAATGACGTCACGGCAATCGGAAGTGCCTCTGTTATCCAGAAAATGGCCGACAGTAATACAACAAAAGCGCATTTTGTTTCCTGCGAAAGAACAAAAAGCAAATACATCAGCCTGAGTGCTTCTTCAACTCTTTAACAAAAATGATATTGGGAAATGGAGGAAAAAGCAACACTATATCGAACATTTTAGTTATGTCATGTATAGTTATAAACAGGCCAATTCACACAGGATTAGGTAAGAGAAAAACTAGAACGTACAGAACTTATACCTCGTGTTTGCAGAAGCAGTGGTATCAGTAAAGCATTAGATATAGTGATTTCGTGCTGTGCAATACTGACGAGTGAGCCACATGTAAGTGATTTTGTGCAATGCTAATAACGTCTTGGAATATCAATGACAATCATACGTGAACACAATCTTATTCCTATCTTACTCGTAATAAAAGGCATGGCTTAAATTGGAGTCCTAAAACATACCTGGCCGTCGGTTAGGAGGATCAATGGCAGAAGAAGTATCGGCGTCAGTGTAATGATGATATAATTTCTAATGGACCACAAGTCTTTTAGAAAACTCATATTTACTGCTATAACTGTCTAAAGAATCGCTGTAGTATCGTTGTATTAATTATCGACATACAGGTTTAGCGTTACATATGCGTGTTCACGCGATACTACAATACCACACCTTTGTAGTAGTTGTACGTTCAAGGCATTTGTAATCGCAGGTAATATATGCAAGTCCACGTATAATTATAGAAGGTAAAAGTGATAATAAAACAAGAAAATACAACGAAATATCACCAGAATGTACAAAAGACATACACGTTAATAGCCACATTTCATAAACTAGAATGAGATTCAGTGGAGTCTCTGATGTGTTACATATCGCATATTATTAATCAGGTCGAGTTTGGCGGTTTCTATACACTTTAAGCACAGCCCCCCCATACCACATCATTTCCTCTACTGTTTCCAAAGTTCGAGTTCGGCTTTTCCAATATTTACTTAAAACATCAATTCATGACAGAGAACATCATAGCAAATAACTTACTATAATTTTTTTAAATGAGTTTATGGATAAATGGATAAATGAATGGAAACAAAGAATATTCAAACCAAGACTTGACGAAACTTGAGCAAAACGTGAAATAGATACAATAACTAGGAAAGAAGTATGTTCATACTCTTGTGACATTTTCTACACCGTTATTTGACGGGTCTGATTACACTGTATAAACTAACTGTTCGGGAGGAGTCAAGGAGGTCTGAACCAAGCTTCTGTAAACAGATGAATCGGCTCTATGATATATAAACATTAATGATATCCTATAACTGTCCATTTGGCAGCAAAGTGGAAACCACTGAAGCATGGTGATCACACACTCATTAGCTTACTTGCGAAGGGTTCACAAAACAAATGGATTCCTTTGTCGCTACGAACCACTATCATCATATCTTACTTTAACTGAACATTTTGTGTTTGTATTATTTAATGTATAGTGATAAAAACACATGTCAGAGGAGTTTTCACTGGCTATTGATACAAATCCCAAGACAGAACAGCAATTATTATATACATTTATAGACAACAGTTATTTTATATCCAAGTCGTGTTATATCTAATGAAATGTTTACATACCATTAGAAAGTCCCTTCAGTCATTAGGAAATAAAATATTAATTAGTGATCGCCAATCATTGATATGGTTTTCGTTCTTAATTGGATGTTTATGGCTTAGGCTTTACCTTTGGGTCACAGTAGAACATATTTATCTTTCTACTTACTGTTATGAACCAGGTATTATGATATGTGATCGGAATTAATATAAAATTAACAATGGGCTAGCATGTCCTTACCGTTGTTCAATTAAAGTCCTAAGCCGGAAGTTTAACATTGTCATTACTCAAAACAGAAAAAAAAATCATTTATCATATAAATAAATAAAAGAATGGTATTATATTCTATGATGAAATTGTCTTAATCCAAAAAACAAACGTTACGAAAAAGTAACAAATTCTTCTATTTTGACAAAGTTGTTAACTTTTTTTTGTCCTTGACCAAATATAGTTGTGGTTGATCAGCGTTCTATCGAAGATAATACCAATACAACTACAGAACACGACCTTGCTCTTCATTTGGAAAGGAAGTAATTCTGAGTTGACTAGTTCCAATGCGACATAGAGGACCAAAATTATAAATGTTACCAATATCACCACCTTCAATCATATGCTCCCTCCACGTGCTGACAGGAACCTATCTTTAATCTAAGAATTTGGGATGTACACCAATTCATTTATCAACATACACGTTACAATATATATATATACATATAAATATATACCAACTCATACCTTCAACGAACACGTTACAATATATATACATATATACACCAACTCATACCTCCAACAATCACGTTACAACATATATACATACACCAACTCATATCTTCAACAAACACGTTATAATATATATACATATATACACCAACTCATATCTTCAACGGACGCGTTACAATATGTATATACATACACCAACTCATACCTTCAACGTACACGTTACAATATATACACATATATACGTCAACTCCTACCTCCAAACACGTTACAATATATATACATAGATACACCAACTCATACCTCCAACAAACACGTTATAATATATATACATATATACACTAACTCATAACTTCAACGGACACGTTATAATATATATACATAGATACACCCAACTCATACCTTCAACGAACACGTTACAATATACTCAACAAAAAAAGAAAGGTTAACATGTTTCCTTGGTGAATACCTGTAAATGAGTGAAAACAAAATGACATTTGTGCGATATTAGAAAATGGTAATGTTTTACATTACAAAATCAAAGGGGGTTACCAAAATCATTCAAGCGTGATAGTCTGTATTAGCGAAAGAGCTGCAAGAGGTTTTCTGCGACTAACTTGTATCTTCGCTTGAATTTCATAAACATTCAAACTGACAACTGTTCCTTAGATCCTTAGGACCAAATCTTGCTATCTTTCAACTTTAACATTATGCCCCGGCTGTCACAAGTACAGAGAGAAAGGACTGTAGGCATGATCCAGACTGGGGAGTCTCGCCGTCGAGTTGCACGGCATTTTGGTTGCAGTGTTAAGACAATTTGCCAGTTGGTAAGTCGTTTAAACCAAACTGGGTCAACATCCGATCGTCCCCGGAGCGGCCCACCCCGTAAAACGACCGCCACAGATGACCGTCGTATACGATTGATAAACTTGCGCAATCGATTCGTAACCGCAGTAGAGGCTACAAGGACATTGTTTGGGCGTCGTGTGTCTCCCCAAACAGTCCGCAACAGGTTGAGGGCCTGCTAATTGAAAGAGCGGCGTCCCTACACTGGATCCAATTTGTTGCGACGTCACCGTAATCATCGGCGTAACTGGACCCGTGTTCACCGTCGTTGGGCCTACGACAATGGAACAATGTTCTGTTTTCAGATGAGTCCAGGTTTTGTCTGCAACACGGTGACGGAAGGCGCAGAGTGTGGAGGCGACGAGGGGAGCGTTTTGCGAACTGCTGCGTCGCAGAACGGGACCAGTGGTTCTGCAATTCTTAAGACGCAATGGCGTTGGCGCCATTTTTCAACAGGATAACACACCAGCGCACACCAGTCGCGTCAGCAGAACTTTCTTGCAGCAGAAGAACGTACAGGTGTTCGATTGGCCATCTAAATCACCTGATTTGTCACCGATTGAGCATGTCTGGGACGTTCTTGGGCGACGCGTGAGAGAACGTCAAAATCAGCCGTCAAACTTGCAGGAGCTGTCCCAAGCCTTGATCGCTGAATGGAACAACATCTCTCCTCGAATTATCCGCCGGTTTACGAGTTCCATGCGACGACGCTGCAGTGCTGTTTACTTCGCAAACGGTGGCCATACCCGTTACTAACGGTGTTATCTTTGAAATTGACCCCAACGTCCTTTACAGTCGAATAAAATCAACTGAACGCAAAGTTTTATAATGAACCATGACTGCAGTTTTATCAGAATTGATCAATCACAGAATAAAGTAGTGTTACCTTTTTTTTTTTTTGTTTAGTATATATAAGAGACTTTGAAGTGCTGAATGTACATTACCTAAAGCCATATCTAAAATGACTAGAAATAAGTTCATAGAAACTATCGCACACTGCAATCTTATCATGATCTTGTAACTTATTTTTAGGAAATTGGGTAAAAACTGCAACTACAACTATATCAGATAGAGTTATCCCGCATAGATGTTCCAAATGGGATACTTGTATCCCACACAAGCCGATGTAGGGAAACTGATGCCTGTAAAGTAATACTTGTTGGTCTTTAAACGATGCAGTTTCAAATAGCACGTTTAGGTGTTATGCATCGTGAAGGTGGTACTTTAGAAATCGTCTTTTCGTTTTTCTATAAGCATCCTCTAGTGGCGTAAAACGTCGTCACCTTCATTCATCTAAAGATTTTTTTTGAGATTTTTAACAATTTGTGCTCTGCTAATGTTTATGAATCAATTCATCATTAATAATACTGATCAATATCCTCTTGTCATAATAGGCTGTTTAATGTTCCACTGACAAGAACTCAATATACACAACCAGCTTTTCCCCCAAAAAGGCATGTCTGAATGGAATAACCCATGTTGTCTGCTACCCAAAATGTTGTCAATTAGTGCAAAATATGTCTTATTTCAACCTGTTGCAGATGCCGCACACCAGTGCACTTCTTGTTTTATTGTAAGTTGATGGAAACAGGAAAATGAATATAATTTGATGTCAGTTAAGAAATTCTGTTCGTAACTTTAACTCCGATTTACTTAATGTCCACTTAATAAATAGCCTAGTTTGTACCTGTGGTCATCCAGTTGAATATTGTCCTTACTTCTTTCTTCATTGTCCTTGTCATTGTCGATCGTATTCCTCTAAATTTTCAAGCATTTCTAAACGGATTCCATGAGCTAGATGAATTTACGAATACATATTCCGTCGATACAATGTTGTGTCAGGTTTTGTCTGCTTGTTATCTGTATGGATTCAGCAAAGGAAGGTGAATATGTATGGGCAATTTGTCTTTGCTGTCTTCCATGCTAGATGACTTTCGGACTGATTCTTGTCCAAGTCAGTGAGTGATATTACTAAAATACTACTAGTATTGAGTATTTATCATTGTACCCAGTCGTTAAAGGATTCATGTGTATATTTGTTTGTAATAGCAAGGGGAGGGATTTCACTGGCTATACCTGTTGCCTAAATCCTTTTGTCAGTAAAATCATAACAACAAAATATTCTGAATGACGTCCTCGATATAGATGAATTTCTAGCGATAGTTATCAGTTCGATTGCTTTGAGGGAATGCCATCAAACTGGATAGTGACGAAGTATTTAAAATTAATAATTTATAATGTCAGTGTCAGATATCATGACTATTCCATGAAACCAATTAACCTGGTCATACCGTAGTCGCTGTATTGATTCCGAACTCATTCATCTAATCCAAGTATTAAAAATGAAAATAGAAACTAACTGTTCATGAATGCCTCGGGGAATGTGTATACACTGGAATCCTTTGCTCATTAATATGCTATTTGCTATTGTAGCAAGTACAAATAAGTCAATGAACGCGTCTGCTCTTAAGCAGGAATGACGCGCTATACTAAATATTAGGGCGATCGGCTGGTGCAACACAGAGAAGTAAGTTTGCATGCCTCTATTTACACGTTTGTGTTATTTTTCATGTTTTGTTGTCACAGTATCGTCATAGTATGAGGTATTATATTTTAATTGAAAGTTAATTGACATCAAATAATTATAGTTTAATATTACCAGGTTTTATTTTGTAAGAGAGAATAATATTTGTTGACTAAGATAACAAGTTTTTATGTCACAACAATGCTATGATGCCATGTTCCAGAGTGTTTGTCAGTACTTAGCTGAGGAAATATTTATATGTTGATAATAACATTTTATTACATTGAATTGTACCATTGATATCATATTACACACTTAGGCGAAAAGAAAAACATGCCGTTTCCCAATATTTGTTCTAGAAAGAGATATTACTGCTAGGGTATTTGAAAAACAAAATAATTATTTTTTTCTATTTGCCTCACTTATATATATTTATATTTTCTTTCGCTACTTCGACACCCGTACCCGCATCTTAACTGGCAAGTGTTATTGGGATATTCTCTTTTTTATAACGACGCTCAATGTAATAATCATTATATCAAGGGATATTATTTCAGTAACATTTACAAACAATACCCAATTAAATTTTGCTTAAGAGAATAAACACAAATTTTAAAATTTGAGCGGCATTCTGATTTATATGAACGTCTAGTCATCCCCATTGTATTATAAAATCTAAACGCATGTTTTAGAATCTCCACAGATGGAGGGAAGATTTTCAACCAGGGTAAAAGATTTTGCGGGATACACTTCTTTGCATGGTCTAGGAAGAATATCGGATTCCAAGCAGATTATTCAGAAAATAATATGGATATGTCTTACTTTGGCAGCCTTTGGGATGTGCGTGTTCCAGGTTTACAGACTTGGTAATCAATTTCTAAAGTGAGTTAAGAGTAAAATCATGCACTACTGTTTACATCTTAAGTATAACGGAACATTACAAAGCCATTAAATTCAATATCCTATATGTGGTAATAGGTACTGAAACGATGCAGGAGGGAAAAAAGTAAAACTCAGATGAAGGCGATCAATGCTACCCTGTAAGGTCTGTTAAATACAAACAAAATTGTTCACCTCGTAGGATAATATGTTTTCAGATAAGTGAACATCTAAGGCAAAAAACTGCCGAAGTCATTTTGCCGTTTAATTTCCTTTCGCTAATATGTTTCCATTCTACCCTCCACCTACGGCACGTATTTTCAAATATGTTTGATGTTGCAACATTGACAGGAAACCTGATACAAACTAGCGCAATGTTGTAAACCGATAAACTTGTGTGTATCATTAATTATAAAAAGTGGATTAACTGTTAAGTGTAAATACATTATTATGTAAATAAGGCCGGTAACTATATTTTAGGTGACGCTGAGATATAAAGCAAATACATCACCAGAGTAATACATAATCTACTTCTTGTTGCAGTTTTCAAGTCAACACCAAAATCATAATGACACAGGAGAAGCAACGATTCCCAGAGGTTACTTTCTGTAATTTAAACCCTGTTAAGTTTTCACGCCTTGTGAATGAGTCGTCTTTGTTTCAAATAATAGATAAATTATCTAGTTACTACAACATCAGCCTGGACGAGTTTGAAACGCCCTTTGAACATTCGGTATGTATTATAATCTAAAGATGTCAATGCTACAACGAATTAAGTAAATGGAATATTAAGTAAAGAGAATTTCGTAATAATTACAATAGTGTAACAACAGTCAATATATCTTATCATTTCTTTAGGTTAATCTACAGCAACTCATGTATGTATAGCGTCTATGTATATCTTTATCTCCTCGTTCTACTTTTTTCTTTATTTTCATAAATATATATATATAATTTCCTTACTTTTGATAATGTTGCTGCCAATGATGTAATCTTATAGTCATCTGAATAGAGGACTTAATTTCGGAACTAAAAAACGAAATATATATGAAAAGCAAGCAATACATTGTTTCAATGTTTTCACGATACTTTAAATATATTTTCTAAATTCACACATTGATTATCAACTTTCCATTATGCAGGAACAATGTAAGAATTTACAACTACTTCATGATATTTCTAGAACTTTATAAAAGTGTCTTTTGATGTTCCGCGTTTCAGATTTCGTTTGATTTTACTGTTTTAATTCATTTGGGTAGATTTTGGCACGATTTAAAATATACATATGGACTTGACGCTAACTTAAAGCATTCTCTATGGGAATGTATGGAGTACATCGAATCGACTCCTTGGACGATTTTTGACATTCATTTCTTACAATTTACTTTTTCCGAGTCGTCCAAGAGGCTTTAGCAATACAACCATTTACGGGTGTCAGATATAATTCAAATTTTCATGATACTGAGAGTAGATTTCTGTCCAAATATTAGACGGTTCTTCATTCATCGTAGAGTTTCTTACAAGTCAAATATCAACCGAAAACGAATTAATATCCTTTTTATCACATGACAGATGTTTTGTAATACGCAAAAGTATGACATTGGTAAATACTGAATAGCAAAGCAATCGTGTGTCTTAATGCCTTATAACATTTAATGGTTATTTCATATCATAAGATATAAGATAATTTCATTCAATGCTGAATGGAAATTTGATCGGAAGAGCACATTGTGAACGGTTCCTTTGATAATGTCCATGAGTAGCGTTCCGAACCAAGTTTAGCTCGCTAAGCTGTTAAGCATCCCTGAAAAGATTATAGAAATGTCATTTCTTTATTCCCTTATCCTAAATGTTCTAACTGCATCACCATATATCCATTTTTCAGATACCAACATACGTTTATTCTAAGAACATATCGTTTGGTAAGTACATCTTCTCAGTATAATAATTATTTAACGGTGTGTATATATATATATACAAGCAATCACGTTGATCAATGACATGTGACTATTTCTGTTGCAAGATTGTAAGTAGGCAAACACACATTTTCACCGAAGTCTTGCTTCACTTTATCATAAAAAATTTAATAATAAATATGTCATTCTTGAACTAAATTGTATCATTGTATATAAAATATAAATCTGTCTTCATTCAGTTAGTACCAAAACCACGAGAGATGCATGCACAGCTTCAGTATTCATAGCTTGCTTGCGAAAATTGCAGAAATTCGGAGTGAACTTTGTTCATCTGTTTTGTTTTAATTTTATAACGAATGTTTCGTTATTTAGTTTTTATTAATTGAATGTGTATAGAATAACATGCATTTCTTATAATTTTGTATTCCCATGACTTTGCCGAAAGGGACTGGTCAATTTAAAAGGGTCGTATGGCCATCATCTTTAGCTAAAAAAAACTGCATGGAAATTCGACTTCGTTGGCAACAGGGACCCGCAACTCTCTTAGAAAAGTTTAAAAAGACAGATAAATGTAGCAAGACCAAACAGGGACATCACCTCGAGTACAGTTAAATTCCCTTTAAAAAAACCAGTTCTTTATCTACCGACAACGACCATGATCAGTCGAAGTCCATGGAGATGGTTGTTTTTTGCAGACAACATGTAGATCCAGTTAGTAGAAAAGCCACAGAAGATTGTCTTAAACAATAATGACATTTATTTGGAACAAGCAAACTTTTGAACAGCCAAAGAAAGAAATTACAACCGACGAACCAACTGGGCCAGATATTATGACTTTTTGACATATAGGTAACATGATCAGTAAAGCTTGTCAGAGGAGAATATCAAGACTAAATGGCAGATCCTACCAGCCTAAACGTAAATCAAAACAAGATATGGTGACGTCATCAAACACAAAAACGACTTATGTCGGCAATGACCACCTTCTTCGATCTGAAATTTTTAAAGAAATATTGATAACATTGAGCACACATGCAGACATCGGCGAGTAATTGAAATTTGCTCCTGATGGATACCAGACATGATTGAGGCAAATACAACAACAACAACAACAAAAAAAAGGGATAAGATCCGACAAGAAAATAGAGTCTCGGTCCGATTTACTACTAAAAACAAATCCCAAAATTGTGGAAGATATTTGGAGTATCGGATACGGATAGCGAAAATTCTTAATATATTCCAGAAACAGCCAGTGTGTTTTTTGTATTTTATCCACATATCAAAGAGTATATTTGGAAGTTTTCGATCAATTTTTAATTTCTATTAAGATGACGATATGTACAATGCCGTTTTCTTGACTATCATTTTGCACTCTTACACAGGAGCTTGTGAGAAATTACGGAGTATATTGATAGTACCATACACATGGTTGCACACTAAAACAGATTCGGCCTTTGTGGAAAGTCATTTTAACTTTTAAGTTTGAGGCCGTTGACACTAAGATGGTGTCCGTGTCCGTGTCCGTGTCCATGTCGGCACCCTGAGTCGGACCAAATGTGAGATGTCTAATAGGAGCAATCGTGACCTTGATATCACAAACTGTAAATCATCATTTTCTACCTCGGAGCTGTGTATTGTAAATGCATCAAAGACACATTTAAAAAATCAACAAATGGATAACTCAGATTGGAAACGACTCATTTGTTATTTAGCTGCCAGAAACCAATTGCCAAATACGGCTGTGAATCGTGCCACAATTTCCAGGTGGATTAAGATTAATATGTATGTTTTTACACCGAGTAGCACCAGGTCTGTTTTAACTTCCTTCAGGTACACAGCGAATAATGGTACCCTTCACCATCATCTTTAAATAGCTGAATGGACTCATAAATCCAACTTTGGTATATTCCTCCAAAAATTGACAAACAAGGTGTACAAAGATTTCTGAGAGGAAACACGTGCAGCGAACAAAGGATTAATGGATTTATGAAGAATAATGAAATTGTTCAAAATTCCCAATTAGAACATGTTAAATTTGATGTGTAGATAGTGGTTATGGAACTCTGAATTTCACCCTTGTCAAAGGAGTCTTTAAATAGGTGTGAACTTGGATGATATTGATACGGAACCCTTGGTGTGACTGTTTCTTACAAATCTTGTTTTAGTAACAGTGTATATATATATATATTGTTTCGATGATGTTGAGCTTAATCGGATGATGATGACTGTACTGTTTTTCGTGTTTGTTATACACAATTTCGACTGTCTATCAGTGACAATCCCTTTTTTGTCTTATTATGTTGTGGTTTATCATTTTTGTTATTAGCATGTATATGCCAATTGTATTTGGTGTATAACATTAAAATTAATTCACTTGGTTCCTTTGTTCTTGTACATGTGCGATCTCCTCGAACATCTGCCATGGTTCCTGTACAAACTGAATGAAGGCAGAATAAGAAGAAAATTAGACAAGACTTACCCAGAAATTGAAATTTGAATGTAATTATGTCTTTATTCTGGTAAAATACAAGAGACCACTGGCCCTACCTGCTTTGACAAGGTATTGTTCATGCAGATATTAGCTTTGGAAATTTATTTCTGTAGTTTTCATATCAAGTGATCACCAAGTTTTTTTACCGTCCATTCAAATTATTTAAAGAATAAATACTGACTAAAGCTGCACCTACATCTCAAGTTCCCTTTGTAAAAAACCAGAATGTATCAAATATCAACTTTAGTATCATTCATTTTTTCTAAGTTATGTTGTTTTCTTAAATTTTAAACTCGCAACACCAGCAGCTAAATACAATTAAATCTTTCTTGATTGTTTTTAAATGTTTGTTTCTATGTAAGTCTCTGAAGACAATAGCGGAAGTGACGTGATGGGCAATGCCATACATCTATTTCATGCACAACTTGCCTCGCTGTCGCTGGAAAAACGAAACGAATTATCGCAAAACATAACGGACTTTTTAATTTCTTGCAAGTTTGGAGGAGAATCTTGCAGAGAGAGGTTTGTGCAGTTGAATTACAATAGATCCAGTTATTGCAATGGCAATTAATCAACTTTGCAGAGAATGTCGCATTTTTCAGTAAAAAAAATTAATGATACCGCAAAGAATTTTGAATACTGAATAATGTCAAAAAATATCTTCAGTTAATGACAATTGAGACAGAAACCTATAAGTCTATCAAGCAAGTCAAGATTTTCCTAGGTACGCCATACGGGTTATTTGATTTTAATTATATAACTATAACAATCAGTGGTAGCAACACAATTGCTTCTTTGATAATGTTTGAAACGGCTTTAATTTTGAGCTTTTTTTAAAACAGTGATATCACCGAGTTTCACAAGGCTGGCTTTGGGAAGTGCTACAGTTTTAACTCTCACGTCGCTGTGGAAACAGCAGGCAGAGAAAAGGGTAGATAAAATTAGTACATTATTGCATTGGAAAATATGTTCCTCGGCAATTTTATGATTTTCACACTTAAAAGTTTAATCGCTTTGTTTTTTTTTAAAAATAATTTTCGGTTTATCCTCAATTTCCAGGGTTAGAAATGATTCTGAATGTTGAACAGAGTGAATATGTGCCATTTTTAACACAATCGGCTGGCGTCATATATGAAATACACGACCCAGACTTCTTTGATGACCTTTCAATCAATGGAAAGAGTTTACCAATCGGACACGAGGTGAACATCGGAATTAAAAAGGTATTCGTACTCTCAACCAAAAGGATATGATCCCATTTTATGATGGAACAATAATTAAGAGTAAGATATATCTTTTTTAATTTCCTGTCTCAAATGATACCTCACTCAAACGATTAAAAAAGGATAATTATCGATAATATAGTTTACATGATATCTGACGTTAGCCTAGATTCTACACTTTCTACGGTCTACATGTGATTATGTTAATGCCTCTGATTCAATGAGAATCATAAGAACATAACAAAAACAATGTCTGTTTTTGACTAATATCATTTTTACTTGTACATATATGCTTTTCAGATCGTAAAGCTGACAATTTGTAATGAAATCTGATTTGAGCTATAACCGACATTTAAATGTCAGTTCGAATATTAGATTAATCGTTTTCTTATTTATGTTTTTTTTTTCGTATATTATTGTGCTACGATGCATGAGTACTGTATCTACTATTTCCATTTCCACATTATTTGCATTCTGCTAAATTACCTAAATTGCTTAAGATGTCGTGTTTCGCTATATTGCGCGTAAATGTACCAGAAAGAAAAAAATACCACTGGACAGCGTGTGAGACTGTCATGTAAGGGAAAACGAAGTATCAAGAAGACTATATGACCGAAAATAGCACCATAATGATTTTTCTTTCAAGAACATATACACTAGACTAAAGCTTCAATCTTGCATATTAACAGTAAACTTTGTTTACAGAAGAAACGCATAAGACTATCCGGACCAACAGGGAAGTGTGACGAAGAAAACATGTTTATAAACCTACTGGTAGGTTTATGGATACTGTGTTGTTCTTGTTGTATTTTTTTTTTTTTTTTTTTCATATGAAATTAAAACATGCTTTCATTCAATTATCTTTAGACAAACTGTCTTGCAGATAAGGGGTGTAACTCCTGTCGCTAATTTGCGATCATGAAAGGCGACCTAACTTGGGCTCTTTATATCTACTCTCTTTCTGTCATCCTTCTGTTGTTTTCCTTGACAATGCCTTACTTTTGCCTTTATTCGACCGTTCGCAACTGTGATTAAGGCTTCATTTCTGTCTCCTGGTCCAAACATGAATGATAGTTACAACTCACTGCTTACCATTCTGCATTTTGGTATAATTATCACTGGTTTATATAGCAGCCTCCCGAAACATATATGCAGTCAATATATTTGGTATTTACACCAATGGAAAGCCGTCCTTAATGACAACAACCTTCGATAGGACGTTAAACAATATTAGATTACCTTAGAATATGAATACGTGCTAATACACATACGCAGTGTATACCATCCTCATTGTGGATTGATGTAGATATTCTTTAATTTCAGAGCTGTCTAAGTAACTGTGGAGACAACATAGTTGAGGCTTATTGTCAATGTCAGGTTCCAGGTCGTTACGGCGCAAAAGATGAATGGGGAGATCCACTTCACTCTTGTCTGGATATATATGGTAGGTTTCACAATTACAAATAACCGACGTAGAAAAAATTGTTTGCAAGCCTCAAAAATTTTACCCTCATCTTTCTGGTTAATTGCTAATTGATATACTTCATTCCTATATGCAAAACGATTTTTCATTATCCCCTTTATCAAAAGTTCAGTAATATATCACAAGGCTTTGCAGTTTAGCAAACTCCATATCACATAGGCATACGATTCTTTTTATCATATAACCCACGAAAATACTCAAATTCATTTTCATGTGTAAGATACATTTCAACGCGAACATTACTTTTCATGGTTCAATAGCATAGGAAGATTAAGTTAATCTTTAGGTAAAATTTTCAGCACGTCTTGTCAGAAGTGAAATGATGCGTACTTTGTTAAAATCTACGGAAGAGAAAAAAGTTTTTTTCATGTACGGGTCCTTGTGTCAGATATTATTTTGAATACATGTATGTATGGAAGGCAGTTCCGATGTATACAGCATGGAAGCACAAGTATGATAAACAGATGGGTCCTAACTCTGTAAAACGGGTGATTGAGTTTGTTATATACGCGTGTTTTGTGAGGAGCCAAGAAAAGGGTTTCCTCCTGACTACAAATCTTGAGTCTTTACTTGCTATCGATCGTCATTTAAAATGCAAAAATGGTCATTTTAAGATCGGTATAGGGCAGTTAAGTGTCAGTCTGTAACAGGTTAAGATCGATTTTAATTGTCCTGTTAGCGTTTTGATTACCAATAATCCCAACTGCCTTGGAATTTACCGAAACGTTATCCAACTTTGTTTGAAATATGACTTATACAAAGGGTTGACCAAGCTCTTTTAGGTATCCTGATTTTAAACTTTCTATGACGTCATCACTTAATGCCAAGTCGAGTTCAGCATGATAGAGCTTTGTGTGATAGCCGCGACGTCGTTAGAGGCTATGTGTGAAAAAACATTGCTTACATCTTCAAACAAGTGTCAGAAACACAAAAAAGTTTTAAATCAGTTTTTCGTTTTTGGTAAATATATCGACATAGTTTGGGGGTCAAATACTTTGATTTTGGTTCTACCTCAACTGAGTTAGTCGCTGGAAACGAAATATCTGTTATGCTGTCTTGGAGAGATGGTTCATTAAACTGAATGAAAAGTCTTTTCTTAGTTATTCTTTGAAAAGTTCATAGCCCAACCTTTTACTCAAGCCTTGATTTTGCTTTGGTTCAACACTGCAGACAAAATGTCAGTACTAACCCATGTACTAGCATGTTAAAGAACCGGTGTCAAGATTGGACTGAACAAGTGTTGGTGGAAAGTGTGTCAAAATCAAAGAAGAAATGTGCGGAAGACGAAAACGTTGAATTACGGGCTGACAATAGCGTCGTCGGGTTTGGTGGTAATTTTCCAACAGTCTTTTGACATACACAGGGTTACAAACTGTGCCCACAGTTGGCTGCCTTGGATGTTGTCAACTTGTTTATCTTTTGTGCTGTCTTTTGACAGATATTGAATGCATCGAGTCAATACGTGCCTCACTGGAACCGGAAACCGAATGTCCATATTGCAAAATGCCATGCACGTAAGCACATGTATACTGCTTCAGACCTTAATTGACACTAATGGAAAAAAAAACATATATGCAGTTTCCTAAAAAGGATCATGTTCTTTTGGCATAAAATCAAATGTTTGCAGTATGTTTATGAATCATGAATACTAAACATTACATGTTTTGTATCAACAATTGGCAATCCATATAGTCAAAAAAAATTTTGTGATGTGATTACAATTACATCATATTTGCCAGCTTTTTGTTATGTTTTTTACATTACATTTCGGGGACCATGATGATCAAACAGAAGCTTATTTACCTCCTTTTACATTGCATTTGCATAATTGCTATTTTTATATCAATTTTTCAAATGTATTTAAAAAGTGATATATCTTTATCTGAAAGCTCCGTAACTTATGACCAGTCCGTGTCAATGACCACCTGGCCATCTGGAAACTTTGAACCTATCTTAGAAAAGCTGACGAAAGGAAAACTTGAGTCTCAAAATGCAAAGTAAGTTGACGTTTAAACGTAAGAAAGCTGATATTCCAAACAGATTGAGTTGTGTTGTCATTTCACAGCTGATTTTATTTTTTATTTTCTGTACAAAATATAAAAAAAAAATTAAAAAAATTAAAAAAAAAAAAAAAAAATTCTTGTGTAAATATTAAAACATCAGTATTCTATTCATTCAATATCAAAACCGATGAAAATTAGAAATCAATTTTGATAGATAATTAATCTTTTCTTGCTTTATTTCTTTATCAATAGGGACGATCTGTTGTCCATGCGCGTGTTTTTCTCAACAATGTTGATGGAAACTACGGAAGAAGAAAGGGCGTATACAGTAAGTCGACTTTACGATTTTTACATACTTTTTTAAAATTTTGAACGCGCATATTTGCGTATCTCGTTCACAGCATTGTCATTGCATTGTTTATGAATGTAAACTTGGCGTCAGTACCTTTCTTTGATGTCTGCCCAACAACGTTGTATATTATGAAGAAAGTCAGGATATTGTGCCGGTATTTTGGTACTTTTATCTCTTGAGCGAGAATATTTTAAAGAGTGGCGATAGTAGAAATATTTCAGAACAAACATGCACATTGATGCCAACTACTAGAAGTGAACGTTTGGGACCTGAACTTTTAGTCTTTTTTTTTTTTTCCCCTGTGATTTTTTTTCCGCCCATGGTGTCTGTGTCCTCGTAGAACGTTAAACTCCGGCTATGCTGTTTTGATAGTAAAACTGTAACTATAAATTAGATGTCTTCTTTACGACCTTGACAACTTTGAGCAAAAAAGGCGACAACAAACCTTTTAATTCGACAAACGTGAAAGGTGCACACATAAAAGGTTCGACTGTTTATAATAATAATGCAATTGCGAAAAGCTATAAAAACAAGAAGAAAATGCGAACATGTCAACACAATCACAATCCAAACTAAAACTTAAGCAAAACTAGGTCCAAATATCAAAAGAGGAACGATCTACATTAATTCAGTATAATTACGTTACAAGTACATATGTATAGTCTGGTCGTGCCACTATTCGAAGGAATTAAAATGTGAGATGAATTAAACTGTTCGATTGTGCTGTTTCGTCCTTCTGTCACTTGTCGGTGATACGAAAGGCCTGAATTATGAGAAACAAGTTAAGTCTTTGTATAATTATTGTGATAGGTTAATTGGTTCATATTCTTTAGAAATAAACACGCATATGTTTTGAAATTGTCGCCTTGCTTTATGAAGAATGATTTCTAGTGCTGTGTAACTTTATCGATGGTCTGTATTTCAGGATGAGAACTTTGTCAGTGACATTGGCGGACAGCTCGGTTTGTGGTTAGGAATGTCTGTGATGAGTCTAGCCGAAGTGGTGGGGTTGATCGTTTTAATCTTACTTTCATTTTGCACCAAACCAAAACAAAATACGATGGTTACTGCTTTCAAAACAGAAAGATGAAAAAAGCTTAATTGTGTGTTAAATTTGACATGAAAAACTGAGACGATACGTAAAGATTTAAGGCTAAGCAGATAAATAAAATGTCTGACACACGGCCATATTGTATATTGACAAATAATGATTATTATCGCAATTTCTTCAAGTACTTGATGTATCTCACTCAAATTTCATTTAAGGATTTGCCCTACTGGTATTCTGTAGACTTTCCAACAGATCAGAAAGACAAAATGGCCGACAAGCGACAAACATTGATACTGGCATTCAATTAAATTTTAGATATTTTCTTTTTTATGTTCTTCTTCAGCTTCTTCTTCTGCTTCCTTTTTACCTTAAAAGTTTGCATATAAGTAAGGCGATCTCATAACGTTTCTTAGAAAAGAACATTCATACCTGTTATGCATGAAATCATAAAATAGTCTTTAGTTTGCATATTCTTCATTTCTCTCCCTCTAGTAAAATATCATGATTATTTGTTAGAGTTACGTCAGAGTTTAGTTTATATTTCATCATGGGAACGTGACATAATGATATCACCAGTATCATACATTTAATTGTCTCCAATAAACAAATTATGGAAAAGTTGCATTTAAGTTTAACTTGTGGTATATCATTGAAAGCTTACATACCATGTATATAAAACGTAATTTATTATTGTAAAAGTACGTAATTTAGCGCAATCAACTTTTAGCAGATTATGACATTTAGGCAAACTTGAGCTTTGATGAATTCGCCAAAAATAATAATTCTATGTAAACCATATATAGTCATAACAAAACGTGCAATCAATTTTTATAGCAATACTTTCTGCGCGAAGAGCGCTGAAATAAGATTACTACCAAAACGTGGTTCGTTTACAGTATTTATTTCATAGTTATATTTTGAGAAGGTTAGTTATTGAGCAAGCATAACGGAAGAATGGTGCTATATAACAGAACGTAGGTATATATATGAGATTAACGTATATGTAGTGACCAATGAAAACGTCTGTATCAACCGCGGCAACAAACTGTGCAGCCGGTTATTTTCGCGAGGATGATATTTTGGCAGCTTCACAGTACATTAACGTGACCGCGAAGATCGAACCTGTGAAATAATGATACACGTGTGTATGAGACGTTCTGTTCACCCAGATTGTGATACTTAAATATAATTCGACCGCTATTTCAGAAAGTAGCGAAAATTTTGATCCTTGAAAATTTCCAGCTTAACAGTAACTGTTCGTACAGTAATGTGAAGATCAACATTTGCTTTGTATATCAGTTATACATTCTTCTTTCATCGTTTTAACATAGGATATATGGAGGTAAAGTAAAAGTTTCGTTAAAACAGCATACGAAGCTATATGATAAACTTATATATAGTAAGTTAAAAGCTTGCTGTTGATGTTTCAAACACTGAATACCTGAGTAACTACTAGTGAACAGGGCAATTCACCATTGTTCTGTCTCGACATCGTTGTTCCTCCTCATCAAAGTAGAGCATTGCATTACATCTCTGGATATATGGGATGTTGTCAAAACAGTTTACGAACTTAGTGCAGTCGAATGGATGACGAAATAGTCCTACAGGTTGTGGACACTGCACCTGAGTGAAGCAACCCACCGACTCCTTCAAGTTACAGGTCTTAATGTTGTTGTCAAACAGCATGTTATCTGGGCACGCTTCTCTGATAGGAATGTTTTGAAAACACTTATAGTAATAGGCGCAGTTGTAGGGATCTTGGAACATAGCGTTAAGTGTAGGACACACGACTGGAGGGTTTGGATCAGGCTGCCAGAACTCTGTCAAGATAAAAGACATCGGAATTACACTGTGTACCTGTCATTCACTTTAACATCACCATAACCAAATACATGTACCCTGATTCCAACAACCAGCTGTGCTGTATCAATCTAAATGCATCGCTTACGTTTCGAGTATTTCCATCAAAGACACGGTTAGCATGAAACGTAAACCATAATACATTGTATCAGCAAATGTTTTGAATGCTTTTTTCAAGATGTGTTTTTCATATATATTTAAGAATTCAGTATTGTTTACAAACTGTATTTACAAGGTTTATCACCTATTTTTGTCATCATATCACTTGGTTGATACTAATGAGACAAAAATTATATGAAATTTACTTACTTGGAAAGCAGTTCTGTTCTGTAACATTTGTAGTTGATTCCAGTTCTGAAATTTTTGATAAACTATCAGTTGTTTTCATAACAAGAAAGTGTTGTTCAATAAAATTCTTAAATGGATACACAAATCTGGACATGAATTGAGATGCAGCATTTTTCTTTTTCCTCGAGACACAAAATAAGCATAGAGCTTTGTTCTTGATTGGAAAAGACCAGAATGATAACTATATACCATTTACCAAATATGCATGAGAAGTAATATTTTTTCGAAAGACCAAACATTTTCAAAGTTTATGTTCAGAACAGCATCTTTTTGAAAAGTTGAATTGACATATTGCAATAAATACTTAAACATCATGATAGCGAAATAGAAGCAAATTCTTACATTTACTTTAAAAACGAAAGCGTCATTGTATTAATTACCTGTACAAATGCTGCTTCCTAAGTATGGAAGGAGACTTGGAAGGCCATCGATAAAGCTTTCCATGGAGAAGAGTTTACAAGGATCAGAACCAATTTCCAGGAATTCTGGTCCAATTGGAGCTCGACCAATCACGTACATGGTAACATTATCACTTTTTAAGCCATATGTTGCGTTTATTACAGCTTGAGTCTCCTGAACTTCCATTCTGCCATTAGTAAATATGGCGCCAATTTTTTTCACACCGGGTCTGGGCATGACCAATGGGAAGCCGGCAGGGTTTTGAAACATGTGACGCATAAGTGTCAGAGCGCTCGTGACATCAGATCTTCCATACAGTTTATTTACGTACAAGCTTCGTTGTGACATCAGCGTAATCCTGGCATTTGTAGCTGCCTGGTTTCTGAAAGGCTGTGGATATGATATTGCGATAGGTTCGCTGCCGTAAAGAATTAGTCCAATATTTATATTTTCACTATTCAAAACAAAATGATCCGCTAACATAACTAAAAAGCGTTCAAATGGGAAAAACTCTTCTCCGGGAATTTCAAGATTTCCTGGAATGGCAAATATGATATCTGCCTTTCCACCACAATCGCATTTAACTGAAAATGAACAGAAAATGCATTTTAACGACTTTGCTGTGTTACCAAACATCCAATCGTAATATTAACTATCATTTATTACTATTTTTATTAAGAAGGTACCATGTTAACAACGCCAATTTTGAAAGTTGTGTAGTATTTATAAATGCTGTACATTCCAACACAAATTCGCATAGAAAAATGTCATAAACGTTCTGAATTACTTATAAATGATGTAATACTATTAGCCTTAAACCATTTTCAGAAGAAAAAAATTATTCACCTGAATGTAACGCGTACATAGACATTAGCATGATCCACACAATGGAGATCCCCATATTTACAAATGTCACCTTCTTTCCTGTAACAAAACAAAAAATATTCAAAAAAGCAGAACAAAACTAGCACGCAGAAACATTCCTTTGTGTTTCTTGTCTGGCATAATTTCTTAAACGCACATCATGCTCAAGCACAAAATAACACATGCAGTCGATTTTCTCTAATTGGATGGCCAATATCATTATTTGGAAATCGCCATTTCATAACATTAAATGTTGCATATACGTACAACTCTAAATAAAAAAAAAAGAAAGAAAAAATGAAATCATGAGGTAGGTGAAATATGTATAATTTGGAAATATCTGGTTTATCTGTGAGACATTCGGACGTGTTTGATGGATGATCGTTAGTGCTTGTGGAATCCGTTGTTATTTACGGTGTTCTTATTCGGAAACTTGACATATCTTACTTGGATTGACCAAGATTGACTTGACAAGTGTCGTCGATGAACCAGCAGAGTCGTTACCCTTCCGGAACACCTCGTTTTATTCCTTGATTCTTTCAGAAACCATGTAAATACTTTTTAGTTCTTATTTTGCCATATTTCCTTCGGGGTTGTGTTGTTTGAATTAACAAGTCCGTGTATATTTTGCTGTTTTTCTTACGCACTTTTACTCAGATTTGTAACCTTGACTTGTTTTATAACAGGCAGACGGCAAGCGAAAACATTAAAGCAACATATTGCAATGAATTACCTGAAGATTTATGTAAATGTTGATCATCCAATTAATTAATATCATTAACAAACATAAAGTGCAAATTAGTGATAGCAGTTAGGCCTTAAAAGTACCTAGTCACATTGATAAATAATACAAAGTGAATTAAAACTATTAACTACCATTGTAGTACCTACTATTTACTATCAACTAGGTGTTCAAATAATTTCATTTTTACATACACCTATTTACTTCGTTTGTGAAGTGCCATATTACATACACTTATGCTGTGTGTTACAAGATCACCAATTTTATCATTTTTATAAGGATTGTGAATAAAAAAATACGTAAATGTTTTCAGACGTGCACTAAAAAATCAGTGTTATACACACATACTGCAAGACGGATATATGAAATGCAGTTTTTTTAAATTTTTTATTTTTTTTTTTTTAAATTTTAATTAAGTTTCGTAAATCAAAAAAGGGAGAAAGTGCCGTTATTTTGTCTCAGGTGTCATGATACTCGACTGACTCAAACAATGTCTTGGTAAATAAATATGTTTCATAAGTTACAGCCTGAGGGTATGGTCCACTATTGGGAATAATGAATGCCATTATACATATATATTGACAGTTGGTTTAGTGCTATAAGGTGACCGAAACCTTGTAATGTCGCTACCATGATGGCCGTCATTTGTATTGATTATTTATGTGGGTATCTACCAGAAATTTATGTCTTTTGAATGGTACATGTGGTTATTGCTATGCGTGGGATGTATATCAAAAGATCATTCATTACACTTTTATCATTTTCGCATAAACACAAATTCTTACCGATAAAATTTTAAATTAACAACTTTGTGAAAGTCCTGCGAGTTTGCCGGTACAATATACAGTAATAAATTGATAATTGATAAAGACGCTGTCGAAGGATTTTTAACGACTATTAATAATTGTGTGGTATTATTTTCTCGTACTGATATGTACCGTGATGTAAAGATGATAATTGAACTTGTATCTACATAGATGATTTATTAATCTATCAAATATCTGTTGGCCTGATTATGTCAATACTTCAAAAACTTATATTACCTGATACGAACATTAATCATATACCGATCTGTGTAATGAAACAATTAGGTCCTCCTACACATATTAATTACTTATACCTTATGATAATTGAATACACATCAAACAATGACCTATGACACTAAAAGTACACGATAACTATAATTACATTGAAACATTTTGATATCAATAAAAGTTAATTGTCAGTTTATATGGACGAATGAACAAAAAAAATATGAGACAACTGTTCTACTGTTGCCTTGTGGTTTATATAAATGAGGAAAGAACCAAATTCAGCTGGCCTCTCTGAAAGTCATATGCAGATGTACGAACTGCCACAGTTCCACAATGGTTCATTTTTCCCGGTATTTGGTTATATATCAGTAAATCTAATATACAGTTACAACCCCAGTTTTATCACCAAACTTATGGAAGGTTGAATCAATGAACTGTTTCGTTATTACATCTGCATCGGAAAAAAATAAGATTAGAAACGTTTGAAAAATGATATTTAAATCTGATAAGTTTAGAAACATTGAAGCTTCAATTCCAGGCGTACATTTTTGTAGATTTTCAAATTTCAAAGAATCCTTTGTTGCATTATGTATACACACTGATATGTGTAAAATTACAATATGCAGTATTAATTAAACAATGTTTTAGATATTTATTTTTCTATCCTTCACTTAAATTTTTGCTTGATATGAATAACCTTATTAACTCAGAAGTTGATAAGAATTTTATGACGTTTCCCATGAGTGTATAAAATGCAAAAATAACGTTATTAATGTAACAGGTTTAAAATACCAAAAGCAATGCACAGCATAAGGGAATGTAATACAATGTTACTTTATCAACACTCACCGTTCTACCAGTAATTTGTGTCCTTAACTGCTTCTAAAGACCTAACAACTGTCGGGTTTTTGGTTTCACGTAACACCTCATGTCATGTGATGGCGGTATTCAAGGATGATAGAACTATTTTACCAAGCTATCTACATCATACTGATTAATTTTGACTCGGTAACATGACAGTCATGTCATAAAAATACCTACAGCAGATGAAATATTTCTAAGCATTACACTCATTACACCTATTTAAAACAAAACATTTTGATTTATGTCAGTGAAAAGGGCTGTCTCATTCCAGGAATATATCAATTAGTTATCTTGGTGATGAAAATGATTGTTACTGAACACAAAACGAGATCATACCTGATGATATATAAAACTGCAACTAAAGGCATCAGACAGTAGTTTTAAAACTCAAATTTACCCAAATTTTGCAGCTTTTACAACACTTTTTTTCCATCAGTCTTAGGATTCTCATATACGTTTTTTAGCTAGTTATTTCGTTCCTAACGCTTTGATATTCTTTTCTTATCCTCGTACTACTATGGTGTGTGGTTCTGTGGTTTATCTTAAAGATCCGCTTGTATTTACTTTAAAGTGTTATTTTTATTAAAAACAATTAACATCACTTCTTTATTACAAGCAGTTGTTTTTTTTTATATATGTATTCCTCAAACATTAAAATTAATGAGATAACTTGTTAATAAGATGAACGTAAAATATAGTATTATACGAAAAAATGGTAAATCGAAATGTACATAATTAGGTCATTACACACCGTAAATAAAAACTTTGATTTTCGGGATCAAAATCAAAATATTTCCGCATGCTCTCGGCAAGTAGGCAACATTCGTAATCTTAATATCCAACATAACTCTAAACATATTTGATCATACGAAAATTGTTGGATTTGTAAAGAAAGCAAGTTGAACAACATAAAGTTTTCCTTAACAGCAGAGCCATAAAAATAGTTTGTTAATTGAATTTCTCCTAACAATAAGATTCTGGGAATCATCCACAATGTTGCAGAGATCCTACATCGTCTAATGAATCGGATAGACACACACTAAGAACAGATACTGGCCAAGTAGACAAAATTTCCTGACCTTTGTGTACAAAAATAGGTAAAATAAATATGAAATATTATCACTGTAAACTTAGAAAAAAATGTTGTGTTTAATTTCAAGTGAGAAATATATTAGGTGCCCCACAATGACAGAAGTTATATTAGTTTATATATGCACATAAAAGAGGGAGTGTAATGAAGTCGTAAGAAGAAGAAAAATTTCATGTAAATGTCAACACGTTTTATCTGAAGTACTAATATCTCGTACCTCATTTGTGTGGTTTTTTTTTCAACTTTCCTAGAAGGGCAATCATTCATATCTATTCCTTAGGAGAAATGTCATTTGTAGTTGAAAAGAGTCATTTTTCGAAACGGAGAAGTAAAGAAAAAAAGTATGTCCCTTAAGGCTGCATTGCAAGCATTTTATTTTCCTAATTTTCTCCGTTTTAGTATTCAATACCTTACGCCAATAAACAGATAATCTTTTTACCTACAAAAACAAAGAAAAAAAATCATAAATTTATGTAGGTTTTATATTTTTGTTTATTTTTTTTTTTTTATTTTATTTATTTATTTATTTATTTTGTGGGGATGCACATAGGAATTATAAGGTAAATCAGTTGAATGTTACGATATCTTTCTTGATTATATGTGACCTAAATAATTTTCATAGAATATTGTGGAAATCATCTAATATATTTCTCAGTAACATGGGGCTTTGCTGTTCATATTTCACAAATAGGTATCTAATTTCTAGCACTCTTTTTTTATAATAGAGTCTATATTTCCGTAATTGAAAAGTCACGAAGAATTTGTAGTCCAATAAAAAAAAGAGTTCAGACACACCGGGGCAACAATCCTACATGCAGTCATACTTCGGATGTTCCATTTTCGATGCACATTCTATCCTCGTTAGTGTTCTAATGTCGTTTTCCTGCTCCACCTATATGTAATGGGACCATGTTTACCATAGACAATATGTCACCGAGTAATTTATATATATATTTATGGAGGTAGAGAGTTACTCTGGCCATGCCTATTTTCCACGTGTTGTCCTCTAGTAAAAAAGAATGCATTATAACATGCCACTTCTCCAATTGTAACGCTTGAATCGTCAGTCCCAATATTTTACCAGTTATGAATTATGGTTTTGTATGATATACTATGCTACACACTCAATATATTATGGTGAATTTTGCGTTCTCTATATTTTGTGTTTTAGATAAAAACTCAAAATCTATTTGTATCGTTTATTGTTGATAAGAAGTGGTCGTATTCTCCTTGTATATTTTCAGGTGTCTCCGTGTAAATCTTTCTTTTCTCCATCAAGGAAAATCTAAATTTGTCAAATCGAGTGA